TCGTAGGTAACACAGATAGTCAGCCACTTGTGGACGTGTCATTTCTAGCTGTAAATCCCTTTTTTGCTGCATAAGTTTCAAAACTGTGCCACTTGTCGTCATACAAGTTGCGTGTAGAATAGCATAAAGCAAGCGTGACTGCTTTCGCCGCTCTGGCTGAATAACCTCTCTTGTTTAGACACACTTTAATACAGTCCATACGTGAAGATGGAATGCTTCTGGGTTTCCGTGCGCTTGTTTGGTGTGAGGATGTATTAGGAGATTCGAGCTCTTTGGTAGCTCTAGTGTTGGTTGTCCGATTTCTTGAATTAGAATGGGAAACCACGTTCTCGCTGGCCAGTATCAGTTGGAGGCTCTGTGTTTGTCTGATTTTCTGTAACACTTGTGGGATTAGCACTGGCGGTGGAAATGCGTACGCAGTGAGGCCTTCCCAGGATATCCTTAGAGCGTCCGTTGCCCACGCTTGTGGATCCGGGACTGGTGATACGAATGTTGTTAGCTGATTGTTGAAGCGAGTGGCGAATAGGTCTACTAGCGGAGCTCCTATTTTCTTGATAATCTGCGCAAAGATTTCTGTATGGAGCATCCATTCTGTCGGTGACGGTATATGTGGCCGAGAGAGTGCGTCTGCTTGTACATTCTTGTCTCCGGGAATGTGACATGCTCTGACATGTAAGTTGAGATCGTCGATTAGATCGAACAGTTGAAAGCATAAGGTCAATAGGTTCAATGATCTCGTTGAGCCTTGTTTGTTTACATAAAACGCCACTGTTGAGTTGTCGGTGTGAATCATCAGATTCGCATTCTGTAGAATGGTGCTCCAATGTAGTAGGGCGTTGATTACTGCTTTCATTTCTAGCATGTTTATGTGGAGCTTGCTATCTTGCTGATTCCATAACCCTGATGCGTCCGGTTGGCGAGATGAGTCCCCAACCTTGGGCGGCGCGCGTCTACATAGAGATGGGTTTTGAATTTCGGCTCTGTTAAATAAATGCCTTCGCAGACATTCGACCTCCTGGTCCACCATAGTAGATGTGGTCTGATGTGTTTCGGTAGACTGAATGGTTGTAGGTCGTCGAGATGAGCGTTGATGAAGACCTGTAACGGGCGTAACTGTAGTCTGCCTCTGACTGTCATGTCTTGGGCTGACGTGAGGAGACCCAACAGACTCTGCCATTGTCGTAGTGGTAGCGGAGAGAGTAAGGCTTGTGGGATGGATTGTTGGATCTTGAGCCATCGGTCCTCTGGTACGACAATACGGTTCAGTGTCGAGATAAATCGAATGCCTAGAAATTGCAGATCTTGCGTAGGTTCTAGGTCCAACTACCATCCTAGCTGTGTTAGTAGCTTGATGATGAAGTATAACTGTAGTTTGAGATGCTGTGGATCTTGATCTACTTGTATCCCGTCGTTGAGGTAGAACGCACTGCGTAGCCCTAGACGATGTAGGTAGGTGACGATAGGTTTCGTTACTCTTGTGAATAACCAGGGGCCGATGATATTCCAAATGGGAGTACTCTCCATTGATAATGCAGCCCGTCTAGTGTAAACCGTAGGTATTTCCTCGAGTCGAGATGTATCGGGATGTGTAGATAAGCATCCTGCAGATCTATACTGGCCATGTAGTCCATGGGACGAATTTAGATGCCGTAGTTGAGGTAGATGTATATGCGAAACGTTGGCGGTTTGCGTAAATAATCTCTGTTGAACGTGCTCATGTTGAAAATGAGTCTGAACTTTTCCTTTGAGTTTTTCTTGGGCACTAGGAAAACTGGGGAGTAGAAGCCTGGTTCGATGTTTACTTGATCTAGTACTTCTATGGCCTGCTTGGTTAGGAGAGATGTAACAGCCTCTCTTAACTTTGGTAGTTGTTGCACCTGGAAGTCGAACTTATGAGGGTTGACTGTAAGCGGAGGCGTGGCCTGTAGTTGGATTCGATATCCGTGTTGAAGTATGTTGGAGACATATGGGTCTTGTAGAATTCCCCAGTTCTCCCAGTGCAGTTGAAGGCGTCCACCCACTTGTGATGGTTGTACTGGAACGGCTGGGGGTGGAAGACTCCAGTCGTTCCGAACTTGTCTTTCATCGTTTATAGTTGCGGGAACCTCTGGGTGCCCTGCCTCTTCCAGATCCTCCTCTGTAGTTGCCATATGGGCGACGAAAAGAATCTTTTCCTCTTGAGCTGGCCATCTTCCTGTCCTGTGCTTTCTGTAAGCCAGTGAATTTTGATCTTCCTGAATATCTCGGTGAAGTCTGCCTGATGACGCTGGCTAGCGTGTCCATCGACTTTATCATAAGGACTTCTCTAGAATCCTTGGTGACTTCCTTAGAGACTTTATCTATTCCTCCGTCGAAGATAGATGGCGTAGACCACGGGGCTGTGTAGAGTGGAGCTGTAAACTGCTCACCCCAACAACAGGAAGCGAGGAGACCTTGACGACGAGCCAGAGTTAGCGCTGCGGAGACTGATGTAAGATGATCCGTTAGAAACTGTTGGTCCTTCTTCTGCATAAGTAGTGCCGAGTAGATCATTCTGTCATCCTCAGATGTCGAATCTCGAAATCTGGTGATAAGAGTCTCATTAATCGTTCTTGATCTGTTAAGGCCGAAGAACATTCGCCTTGTCATGGTTTCGATCTGAACCAGCTTGCGGTCGTCAATCTTATAGTTCTTATTCTTGACATCGTTGATTACTTTGTAGTTATCGTCGATCTCTTGTGCCTTGAAAAAAGGGTCCATATTATGGGTTGAGAACTTTTTAGCCTTGAACTGTGGTAAGTGCGGCGCTTGGGATTTAGTGGCTTTATGGAAGGCTGTGTCCAGATTCTGTGGGACTGTAGCTATCGGGTCGATCGGAGGTAGGGTGATGGTGTCTGCATTGTCCTCCCTCATAAGGTAAGTGTGGGCCGGATTACCGTTCTTGAAAGGTGAAGATAGGTCCAGGTTGTTAACCATCCAATAGCGTGTTTCTGCGTCGGAGAAAATGATGCCTCCATCATCTTCTGTAATGGGATCGCTGATAAGAGGTTGATGCTCTTCCGATGGTGACTGAGGTTGAGACCTGTATACTTCTACCGCTCTGCAGGGTGACGTCAACGGAGACCTGTCTGGGGACTTCCGTGAAGACTTGTGAGGCGAACGGTGTGGTGACCTGTGAGGAGATCGGCGAGGTGATCAGCGTGGAGAACGGCGAGGAGATCGTCTTGGTGAACGGCCTGACGAGCTGCGTCTATATGGTGACCTTTGCGGAGATCTATGTGGTGAACGTTGATAGCTTCGCGAAGCTCTTGGGGAATCCCTCGATGACCCTCTAGACGAAGAGGTTCGCGAATGAAGATCCTCTCATCCCCGGACTCTGACTCGGACCCCCAGCCTTCGCGAAGGTCAAGTCGTCGCTCATGAAGCTTCGAGGGATTCCCCAAGAGCCTTGAAGCTATCAACGCTCTCCTCCGAGGGTAACTCTAGTGGAACACCAGACGGGAGGGGGTCGACCGACAGCAGTTGACTGGCGAGGGGTTCCGATGTATCGGCCATGGCTAAACCCTGTTTGCGTGACCTTAATATTTGTTAAACAGCAGAATTACGAATAAATATCAATACATAATTGTTGAAGGATACTAGCTACACCTCTATAGTAGACTATAAGAGGTAACTAACTAAGAATAATCAAAGGATATAGTGTGTAGGGAGACACAGGCGCTCTCACATCCTGCTCACTGGGCGAAGAAGGAGAGAGTGAAGCATGAGGCCAGAGGGTGGCGCCTCCTTTCCCGAGCATTTGGAAGAGGGAGGCAACTCTTGGTGAGTACTAATTAGTGATTTTACATTGAAGGGAGCTTCAATTAGGGAGATACAAGTGTTCCACTATGTTCGCAAGAAGAAGAAGACAAGCAAAAGAGCATGAGTCAGGATAAGGAAAAATAGAGCACAATCTTATTCCCTTCTCATCTGTATACTGTGAGCTTAATCTCACAGTGTACACTCCTGTAATTTCTCCTTTGGGTCAGTTCATTATGCCAGACAGGTAAATGCCACGTGTTGTTTTACTAATTGTAAGGGTATTGGGCTGTAGGGGTTATGGGATGTCGGGATTTGGGGAGACAACTGTGGTAGTTGCATCAATTGTTAAGTTTTGTACAGTTCCCAAGGGTTGTATTTTAAAGGTTGTCTCCCAAAACTCCTACATGGGGTTATGACAATTATGAACTGTGACAAAATCCCTTAAAAGAAACTCTCCCATCATGCCATTGTTTACTCAGTCACATCAAACTTCAAGCAAGGGAACTATTGACCATTGTTACAACATTTGAGAAATTATGCGAAGTAAATTCGATTAGTATGTCAAACCTTGCTTTACCCTAACCATCATTATTTAAAATACTCTCCAAGAACTAAAAGGTACTTCAGTGCCTAAAGGACTGAATATAAGAGGAAATAACAGCAATATTTCTTCAGCTTGAAGAAATTTTATTATCTTCAAAGTACCATAATTATCACTTGTAACTGAGTCAGATTAGGCATATCTAATTGAGTACAGGCAGTGGCAGTTTCCATGTAGGCAGTATTTATATGATAATAAGCATTCACTGATATGAATGTGGAATAGAACAAATATAGCAGACAATAATTGTAAGTGAATCATAATTTAAACAGTGTACATGTTTCTAGGTTAATTTTCTTCTCTAATCAAGAATGTTACACATGCGCACCTGATATGGTACAGATTTGTACTACTGTTTTTTCAGCTGCTTCATTTTGGCTAAAAGCAAAGCGCTTAGCTTCCTCAGTGAACAAACAGAGGAACAAGTTTACTTTATCGCAATGATAAAATATGTCGTCAATTAATTTAACCTTAATATCCACTGTAATTTGATCTTAATTTAACAGATTTAAATGAACTGAAAGACAAGATACAGAGCCTTGAAGGTACACATGCAAGAACAAACATAAATATTATATTTATACAAGATTGTAAAACAATTTATGACGCATAAACTTACATTTGTAGGAAGAGATTCCGGCTTAAATTTGGCCAATGTTTCTTTTGCCCTAGCTGCATCTGGAACAAAGAATATAAAATAATTATAAGGCAAAACATGCTGTACAGTAGGTACATTCATAGTGAGTTGAATGTCATAATGAAGACTGACTGACTGATTTTGGTTTTACGCCGCTTTTAGCAATATTCCAGCAACATCACGGCTGGGGTCACCAGAAATGGGTTTCACACATTGTACCCATGTGGAGATTCGAACCCGGGTCTTCGGCATGACAAGCCAACGCTTTAACCATTAGGCTACCCCACCGCCCCTCATAATGAAGAAATGTGCCATCATTTGCCATGATGAAGATGGTATGTGCTTGTTAACTGGATGTGCAATGTAGTGTAATGGGGTAAACTTCCTGTGAATATCCTACCTCCATCACACCATTGACATAAGTATTGTATTTTGGGATTCATTACACAATAAAAAACTTCATATTTTCACTAGATGCCCATTTTACAGGAAATTGTCCATATTAAGTGGCACAGATAATAATATTTAACTGCCTAATACTTTGAGTGCTCAAGGTGGGAGAATATGATTGGTTCCTGTGTCTCCAAGTGTCAACATTGAAAATCTTTGCTGAGATTTTGTTTAGCACCATGTGGTAGTTTGGTACACATTAGATGATCAACATCTTTAGTACAACATTAGGAGATACATAGTAGCTTGATCTGATTTGTTGCTGGCTGCCCCTTGCAAACAATGTTGGACACAAGATGCACACAAAGCCTGGTGAAGTGATTTACTCTATTTTGTTGATGTTAGATGCCTCAGCGTGTCTTCTTCTGCATGGAATAAGGAAAGTCACTAAGATTGTTTGATATGTAACGATTGCCTTTGCAAAGAAACTCTCCCATCTTAAGGTGAACACCTGACTTCCTGTGAGCAAACCATGACACAAATGAACTGCTGTCGCATCTTATGTTCATTGCTCCTCATTTAAACAAACAATACTCACTAATGGTGACTCAGTGGCTATTTTCACAGTAGGTTTGCCTCTATGTTTTAGTGTTGGGTGGGAAGATCATTTTTTGGCAGACTCAGCATTGGTAGGTATCGGTAGGTTAATTGTTTGAAGGTTTTTGTCTACTTTGAACAGGGCAGGATAGGTTTATGTATGGAAATACATCATTTGTAGAAATACATAATTGCCATTAGAAGAGCAGGGGTTTGTTCGGGTGTGGTGTTACAAGAGGTTGGTATCTTTTTTTCTAGGTCATTTCCATTTGACGGTCACAAGAGTTAAGAGAAAGTAAATAACGTAAGTTTTAAAATTTGAATTTGGGGTTAAGGAAAAATAGAAAAACACCATAAAAGTAATTCTAATTCAGCTTAGTATGTAACACAAGTTCTGATTGGTCAATGCTATAAACTTCAGACCGTATAATCAGCATGTATGGTCGCAATTTGAAAACCGATTCACCACATCCTTTCAATGTATTCCTACACTATTGGGGTAACTCTGTTTTTCAGGGCACTGTCATTGCAGAAGCCGTAGGTTAATTATAACTCCCCTATCCAGCTAAAATGGGTGGAATTTGTGTTCAAAAAGACAAAACAGAATAATAAATTTAATTTTAAGTTCAAACAACTTGCTCGCAATGGGCTGTTGACCCAACACTGTTAGGTCATGAAACAAGATTTATGACGTCATTATGGAGATGCGACGCTAACGCACCGTTTGGAAAGGTCGTCACCATGAGGACCAACAACGGGACAGAATTCACCAGAACATTCACGAGAAATTCAGGAACATTCTCATCAAGAACAAGATACGTCACCAGATGTCAGCACCGTACTCACCCCATCAGAACGGAACAGTAGAAACGGCACGGCGTTCCCTATACAATCTGGCGAAATGCCTCATCATTGAAGCCAAGTTACCCAAGACTCCATGGTCATATGCTATCATGACTTCAGCGCACATTCGAAACCAGTGTTACAACAAGAGACTGAACATAACACCATTCGAGGCTTTGACAGGTCAGAAGCCAAATCTGTCAAATATGCATGTTTTCGGCACAGCCTGCTTTGCTTTTATTCAAGGGATGAAGAAACTGGACAATCGCAGCGAGAAAGGTTTTTTGTCGGATATGAACGTGAACGCCCTGCCTATCTGGTCTACTTCCCTCAACAGAATGAAGTCAGAAATTAAGATGTGTGAAATTCATAGAAAGGTTTATGAACCGGACTATGAGGAAGAACAGGAAATGTGCAAGAGATTTGAGGCTGAAGAAACTAAAGAACAGGAACAAGAAGACAGTCATCAATATCCCCTGCAATGGCAAAACACTCTTCATGAATAGTACTAGTTATGGTTATGTCAAATGTTTTGGTGTGTATATGGTAAAGTGGAAGGAGGGCATTGAAAGGTTTTTAAGTTTTGCTCAAGAAAGGAGCACTACCACCAAAATCAGTTGAAGCTAAACTTGTTGGCATGAAAACACAAAATTTATTTTATTCAGAATTCCAAAACTACCAAAAGGTACCATTTCACCACCAGACCTATCTATGTGCCAAGTTTGGTGAAGAAATCAAAGTCAAACTTGCTGCCATGGAAACGCCAAGAAATATTATAATCTGAGAAATCCAAAACTACCAAAAGGCTCCAGTTCCCCACTAGACCTATCTATGTGAGAAGTTTGGTAAAGAAATATTGAACAGTCTTAAAGTTCAGCTCTGGAAAAGAGCACCAACACCAATCTCAGTCAAAGTCAAACTTGCTGCCATGGAAACACAAAAAATATAACAATCAGAAATCTAAAACCTATCCTCCTAGGTGGACGAGTGAAGAAGACCCCTACGTCGGACTGCTGTGAGGTAAGCAAAGAAGTGAGCCAGCTGATCCAAAATAGTTTGGAATTGTCCTTGCAATAAAACCATCGAGGCCCGGATATAAGTTTGTTGAGGAGAGACTGCATGGGATACAGACATGGCCACCGCTTCTCTCGCTGTTAACACCATGTTGAGGGGTGCCATTCGCAAGACCATCCAAATGCGACAGTTCCCGGTCTTCCACCAAGAAAGGAGAATACGCTCTCTGTTTCATCCCCAATAATGTAATGTCATCATCCACAGGAGGGGATGCAATCAACGTTGAGGACCCATGGACATGAGAAGACGCCAAGTTAAAACAAGGCTCCGAAAACCATCCTTGACTTTCCGAAGGTTGTCAAACACCTCATCTAGGGAAGCCGCAAGATGAGTAATACAGGGACGAGGAGGAAATGTCATCCGGTTTCATATCAAAGCAAGTCAGAAGATCCGATGGGGAAGTACTTCATGGCAAATGTGTCTTTTTAAAGGTCACATAAACCCTAGGGGGTACAAATACATAAATCACTAACTCGCATCGTTATAAATGAAACCTCGTCATTAAAACTACTCATTTCGACCTTTAATTGACTTAAATCGACCTTTTTGACAACAGTGCACAATTCTCACCCGCGAACGAAATTTCAACCAATCAGAGCGGCGCGACTCTGTGACGTCATATGAGGAATAGCTTGGAGGGCCCGTGCAGGAATTCATCTACATTTTAGGGGTTAAATTATGTTGTTTACAGGCTTGTATAAACTTGAAATCGTGACAATTGTTGTGGAAAATGAAAGCTATATGTTCTCACAATCTACTGGCATTTACTTTTGTCTCCTGCTTTGCCTAGTTTCCGAGTTACAACTTGTTTTCATAGACGATTCTGTCAAAATCGATTGGTGTCGTTAGGCCCTATTTGTATAATGACTGATCCAAATTGATCCCATTTCTGTGTTTTTACCTCGATATTTAATCATGTCATGTAAAAATCTGTTTGTATTCTCAAAACAGTGTCGGCCCATAAGTTTTCACATGCAATACAGCAATTAACACTACACGTTATTTGTCATCATTCACTTGATGGTCAGTTAATGAATTTATCACAGGTATAATTAGTGGTAACACACTTAAATTACCCGACAAAGGTTCCCATTTGGCATTTCTTGTGTCTGGAGTAAATATTCAACATTATAAACATCGATCAAAGGATTAACCGATAACACGCTGATTGATTAATTACTTTTATCTTACACAGCGGAATTGTCAAAAGGTAGTGTTTACGTATGTAGATTTACTAATCTATACTGAGTACACTCTGTAAACGTGTCTGTGTCTGCGTAAAAAACAACGTCCTTCTTTCAAAGGATTAACCGGCAATACATTGATTGATTGCCCATTATTGGCTAACTAAATTACTGTTTTTAAAGAAAGCGGACATTATGCAATTGGTTGCCAGGTGTGCTATCTTGGGTGACCAATGAGACTATACACCAATACCTGAAAAGATTTATCACTTTTTCATTATATTAAACTGTTAAAAGACACATCATTTGGAACAGTTTTGTGGATATTGATGGATACATTCCTCGAACAAGGTAATGGCCTGATATTGTTCCTATAACTTTAATCTGTTTTTAATTTTAATATTTGCATTTTGTTTTATTCATTTGTCGTAGCATTCAACAGAATCATTGTTTTCGTACGTGAAGTGTAATGAGACAGACAACATGCACTAGGGTATTATTATGCGAATTATGATTCACATTGGCAAACTATAAAATGTCTAGATATTACAGTTCTGTTATAAATTCACTATAAGTATCAGCAGATCGTCTGCTTTTTATTTAGTTTCAAAATGCATACAAGTATGATAATAAACTAATTGGGATTATAAGACCAAATATAAAAGCGCACATTGACTAGTATCTACATACTGGTGAGTGGACATTAACCATGGGAATGTAGCAAGAAATTTATCGGCGCGTAGTATTGTGACTTGACCCCACCTAAGCTTCCGTGGAAGAAATCGTTATGTTATAAGTTGTGTCATGCAAAATCCGTTTGGTTATGATTCCAATACATATTTAACTCACAGTAGAAAGTAGTCTTGATTTTCTAAGCAGTGAAAACAAACTATAATCTCATTAATTCTAACAGATTTTTTATTTTTAAAAATGGCGGTAGCCCTGTCGGGAACATCCGCCAGTCTGAGGATAAATGGCATTTAGGTTTGTTTCCACCGAAGTTACAAAATCAAAACTACTTTCTACTGGTAGTAAAATATGTATATTTTATTGATTATTAATAGGATTTTGCATGATAAAATATAACATAACAATTTCTCGTGGCAGCGAGGTGGGTCAATCAATATAATACTACTTACAATATTATTGTTACTTGACCACAACCTCACTTCGAGGAAGAAATCGTTATGTTACAAGTTGTGTCTTAGAAAATCTTTATGGTCATCAATCATATGCATATTTTTACAAAGTAAGTAGTTTGATCCTTTAACTTCCGTGAAGCGATCTGAACACAAGTAAGATATCGTTTCAGGCTTCCACAACGCTAAGCCGCACTCACAAACATAACCCATTTAGCACGAACTGCGGGGGTCCTGTGGAAATCTGTGCATGGGGACACCATAAGCCGACGACCCTAGGAGCAATTGAAGACAAAAGCAGCGATTCGGCATGTGCGTCGTTGATGTCGAGAAATCATCAAAATGATGAGCGTGCTACACATTTTCTATACAACTAACTGAAAATCGTTCCTCATATGACGTCACTGCAGTGCTCCGGCGACAGAGTTACGTAACCTGTCTGTGGTTTCGTTGGCGGGCGAGAGGGAAGCAGGTGACTTTTTGGCAACTTTTAATCGCTCGGTATTAAATAACCACAAGTTTTTAAAGAATAAATTTGGTGTTCCGCATAAGACTAACCACAAATCTTTCATATGTAATGGTTAAAAGAGTAACAAAAAACAAAGTTTAGTGGTTCTTTAACAATCAACACCAGCAACTGAGATGTGTCGACAGCATCAACACTGACATCAAACACTGACATCAGACACTGAATTACCATCCGAAGTGGGAGAAGACGTGGCTGACGGGAGGGCTTCATCCAAAGATTGACAGGGCACGGTTGGCAGGGCCAGCCAACTGAGCGATCGTAGACGTGACTGGAGGTTGCTGACCCAGCACTGAGGCCACTACCCCAAACAATGGAATCAAAATCAAACGGCTGAGATGCAGGAACATCGGATGCCGGATTCCAAGACACCAGTAAATTAGGCCTGGAAGGAATCATTAGACGTAGTCACCGGGGTAGTTGAAGTCACAGGAGGCATATTAGATCTCGTGTCTGACAAAGGAGGATCACCATGAAGGGCTGAATATCCCATTGGTTGTAGTTGTAAGCAGAGCATTGGTATAAAGTGGTGCACTGGGCGGTAGACCGGATACAACAGAAGGTGGTTCACTAATGGAGAATCTCGCAGTCATAGAAATCAGCGCTCCGGAAGGAAGCGCCGAACCCACATCTGTCGCTGTATGAGTCAAAGTAGATTGAAGCACCTCAATCGGAGGGAGGTTAAGGGATACTGAAAATGTGATAGGATAACCAGGCATAGGTGGTAACGTTGACCTGTGTGAAAGCGGCGCATTGCCAGTAAGTGGCACATTGAAGAAAGTGGCGCATTGGAAGAAAGTGGCGCATTAAAAGCAAGCGGCATTCCATAGGCAGGTGGAGCAATCTACTGCACTAGACATAAAGGTAAGACATTTGGTTTGTTTGATGTCCACCATCCAGTCATTACTGTAAAAAGTGCCTGTGAATATATGTCCTATTTCTAGATGATATTTTAGCATACACAATGATGACAAAGACATTATTATTATGCCATTATTTGCATTGCACCAATATCCAGTTCAGCTGCTCAAAGGAGCATTGTTTTTCCCTTGATCATTGGATGTCAATCTTAAATGGCACATCGTATTTACAATCTCAACTCACTGGAAACACAGAAACTGTTCAAATAAGTTTACGTATATTACCCATGCATTAGAGAAGACCCATTCCTGCATCATGACACTATGTCAAAAACACTTACCACTTGGAGACTTTAAAACTATGACTTCATGATCAGGATGATAGAGCTGGTTGGGCTTCAGGAGTCCTTTCACTGCTAGATTTTCCTTCATTAGTGTCATAAAAGATCGATCAGTCTCAAATGGAATCGTAAAGCCACTAGCTTCATCTTCTTGTCTGAAAAGAGTAAATAGATAATATCAAGCAAAGAAAGGGTGAGGGGGAAGAGGATAGGCTGACCTAGATGGCCTTTCATCAAGTAATCAACAACTAGTAAGTAAATCCATATGCTGAAAGATTTAACAGCATAAACTGTCAAAAATTGTTAGTTTATAAGGTGCCTGTTGGGTTGAACTTAAATTAAATAGCCATCCATGCAAATATCACTTACTTATAAGAACTGTTCTCCTAATGTTCTGTTTACTCCTGCATAATTTAACACAAAATGTACACCCATAAGACTGACCAAGTTATGCATGACTTTATTTTTACCAAGTTATGCATGACTTTAGAAGAGTGAGTGGAGTTTTAGCCATTTAGTCTGAAGTCTGGACCAGACAATCCAGTGATCAACAGCATGAGCATCGACATCAACATTTGTCAACTGTAGAGATTCAGAAGATGGGTTGCTGAAGACCTATTCTATCGGATCAGATTCAGAAGAGGGCAGTTGTGTGCTAGTTACTTTCATAATCTTTAAAACCTGTGGGATGTATCAAGATGTAGTTGTTGCACTGTCAGGATTGCAAATACCCAATGTATTTATATCCCGTCAGCTTATAAGACAACTGACGAATTAGGCTGATGCATAGGTACACTTGAAAACTACAGCAACACAGTGTCATATTACTTCCTCAAGTCTACCTTCCTTAAGTCCTTCCTTTGTCTACTGGCTTCAATCATTTCTTATCACAACAAGCCTCATGCCAACACACTGTACATCAACCTCTTCTATTGTATAAACCCAAATACCTGCCATGTATATATTTCTCCTTGTGCAAATGCTGTGTATCATGCCATGTTAGGACACACTGTACATCCCAAAACTACGGCAACAAAGAAGTTCTCTATTCATAAAAGTTGTATACAATGTCCAATATCTTTAATTTGTGATCTGCCACCACATGTCAGACCATCGATCAAACATTAGAGAGTCAACAGTTATCCACCACACAGATGACAACAGTCATTAATTTGTCCATGGAAACACCGAACAAATTGTCCTAAATAACGTTTGGAAAACGCAATCGTCCAAATTCTTTTTGCAATTCTGAGGGCAAAATGGAAGTTTTGAATCAATGTACATACTACTAACGGATTATATTTCAGGACAAATTGTTTGACTGAATTTGCCAATTATCGAACTTGGATTGTGTTATTATCTCATCATAATGTAATATCTTTTGTAGCTTATGCCCTGTATTAGCGCAACCACTTCACAATATACCAGTGACTTACCAATATACCAGACTTCTGGGATTGTAAAGGATGGTTTCACTTATTCCCTATAGATCAATTGTCTGTGGGAATTGCAATTGAGTAACTCATCTCTTGAAATAAAAAAAAGTGAAGAATAAGGTGAATTATCGTAGATAAGCCGAAGTCATAACTTGACCCTTAAAATCAATATCAAAATGGTATGTTCCGTATATAAGCCGAACCACCAGCCTTTGTTCAAATCTCCAGCCAGTGAAGTTCATAATTATGCCAGATTACACAACCACAATAATACACATCATGGTATTTGTCTCTTCACGCAAGGTAATACTTACTCATTTGAGTTCAAGTTGTCAACTTCAGAATCAACAAGCACATATTCCTCATCTGAAATATACATTAAGCTTATTCATAAATGGTTTGCAGCATAGATTTAAATGTTTTACAAATGTCACTTACATTTGTAGCTAAGTAGCATGTATCAAAATGAACACAGACAATTTCGTATGTTATGTCTTCATATTCATACCTTACAAGATGAACAAGAAGTCAACAAGTACTATGAGTTCACCTTACAGACAGATTACTGAGGATAATTTTGTGTGGACACATTATTATATGAGCAGCTATAACTGCTTTTGATGAAATAACAAACAAAAGGTGTTTCTAAGCATTTTAGAAGGTCAATGAAAGAAAACTGATATGATAGTCAAGCTTTATCAAATACTGCTTTCTGGTGTTACACTGCCGAAAAAACTCAAAAGGTGTTTATCCATAAAAAGGGTGTTTACATTGCATGAAGCAGCAATATGCTAAACTTATTTTGAATGCCCAACTTTCCCATGAGAAACAAGTCATGAATAATGTTGACTTGATCAAATCGGAGGTCAGTTGACATAAACAACATCAAATATGTTCTTTGATCATACATGTAAAAACTAGAGCAAAAGGCTTCTAGTAACACTAAAACAAGCAATCGAACTTACAATTTACTTACTTCAAAGAGCACAGCAACTTTCAAATTTTTGCTTAACTTTCGATGAAACTAACTTCTTTGACAACAAAGTTTTAATTTTTTTAAGTTCAATAGCATTATCCCTGGTTTAGTAAAACATACGCCCTATCGTTGTAAAGCTTTCAAACTGGGAGTATTAACCAAGGCATTTTACAAAAAATTGCATTTGGAAATTTTAATATTAATTGTATATTTATATACTTATACTATCTCACGACTTGCACCTCTCTCTCTCCCGCTTCGACACTACCAGGGGACCTTAGATCGACACTATCATCATCTAGATCATCGGTACATATCCCCTCGACTGTCTCAGTTTGTTTGGAGCCGAGCCAACCACGTTCAACCAGCCAACTGTCCCCTCACAGTTCATTGAACCAGACGGAGATGGCTACATTAGCGTCGCCGGGGGACGTTCATCAAGAATCAACACTTCAGGTTTCGTCACCTAATTGCTGATCCAGATCACCACATCATTCTAGATTACCATCACGATCTAGATCACCTTCACGATCCAGATCACCATCACAAACCCGATCTAGATCACTGTGCCGATCCACATCACCAGATCGATCCAGAGCACAATTACGATCCACATCACCTGATCAATCCAGATCACCTAGCTGATCTAGATAACCAGACCGATCCAGATCATTACATCGAAGTAGATCATCGGACCGATCCAGACCACAACATCGAAGTAGATCACCGGACCGATCCAGACCACAACATCGAAGTAGATCACCGGACCGATCCAGATCACCGAATCGTTCCAGGTCACCGGATGGATCCAGATCACAACTTCTAATCAGATCAGTGGTCCGATCCAGATCACCTAATTGATCCAGATCACAACTTAGGAATAGATCAACGGACCGGACCGATCTAGATCACCTAATCGATCCAGATCAGCGAATGGATTCAGATCACAACCTCGAAGTAGATCACCGCGCCGATCCAGATCACCGAACAGGACGGGTTCATTGAGCCGATCCAGATCACAACTTTGATCCCGATCACCAGAGTTTGATTCAACATACAACCATGATCACTTGGTTCGCTGACCAGCTACAGCTATCTAGAGCAAGATACTAGATGATTTATGTACTACATTCAATATGAAGGATCATGAACTTGCATTTAGATACGGCCAATTTGTCGAACTGTACCAGCTGTCAACATGATGTTAGTATTCAGGCCATTTGTGACGCGCAGAATTCCTCACCACAGTGATATGCTATTAACACGGAAATCTGACTTGGCTCTTTAGATTACCCTTAGGCCTGTGAGGCGCTAGAAGATTTTGGTCACATGACTTATCCCACCTGGTACCCTTTATCTGCTGGTTGAACAGAGGTAGTAGCTATGTCACTAGCGCTGACATCTAGTTTATGTCGGCACTTGATGGTCTGACGATCCCGGATCTCCAAGACTCCTATGTGATCGGGGCTCATCTCGTTCTTGATTTAATCTACCATCCCATCTTCACCTTTGATGAATGATTCGGTTAAACGAATCCACCTTTCAGCGTAGATATCAGCTCTACAACAACCCGTTGTGCATTACTAGACAAACTTGCTATCCAGGAATAATTCACAATGCTTCACTGAGTCCTGTTACTACAGACTACTCGTTACAGCGTTATGGTGTATCAATGGGTGCAGTTATGGACTGGTTTGTCATCTGCATCACCCTTCCTTTTACTTCATCAGCAAGCTTCTGGACAGATGGGTCAAGTTTCTGCTCATGGTATCAGCAGTGATGTCTTGGTTGTGATTCGCCCGGTTAACTGAAGATCGTGTTGTCCGGATTTTGTCACTGTTGCATTGTGGGTAACATTTGTAAATGGCGGACTACTGTTTGTTTACCGGAAAATTTTGATGATAAAAGTGATTATGAAGTGCCCCAACAGACTTTATTGATCTCACGAAGCGGTTGACAATCCCAGCTTTTAATTGCCAGTGACGATGAACAGTGCCATGCCCAGTAAGAGTGATTATGTCGGGATTCGTCAGCCAGCCGAGAGTGACAGCTAACCGAAGGTGAAAGACAGAATGCCCAAGAACGCTTTGTCTTTGGCTAGGGTTACACGGTTTTCTACATTAGCTAAAGCCTTCAGTTCAGAGGTCACTGCAGCAATGCCTGGACGATCCTCATGCGTCGATTCTACTACCTTTATCACTGCATCAGGTGAACCAGCACTCCATTTGGCGAATCAGACGTTCCTGAGCTCGCACGCCGATCGTACGACCTTTATCACACTTTACATTGTGAACGTTCCTGTAGATTGATTGACAATCTCCATGCGCAGAACCTACTACATAGCACTCCTTCAGTATTATCATGACAGCTGAACTAACTGAACGTTCCTATCTCAGGGGATGTCCCTTCGAGAGTGGCAGGAGCTTCCACCGCCTCACTTCAGAATGGTGTTGATCAACCTATTACACAAATCCTGGAGAAGGGAGACTACCTCATCAGTCTAGATCTTCAGGATGCTTATTTATCACGTTCCGATACATCCAGAACAACAGATGTACCTTTGCTTTGTTCAATGGGAATCACTACCAATGGAAATTCCTACCATTTGGAATTTCCACTGCCCGTGGCTTTTTACCCGAATTAACAACCCATCACGAGCTTCCTCCATTTTCAGGGGGATCACCTTCGAAAGCTATATAGACGATTGTATTCAAGCTTAACAGGATCCAATCGTATTGCTTCGCCAACTTCAGTTCACCACCATGCTGCTCAGGCAGTAAGGGTGGCTGTTGAAGATTGAGAAATCGGAACTAATACCGACTCAGAGACCCCAATTCATTGGAGCACTGTTCGACACTCGTCAGGGGATGATGTTCGTTCCTCATGACAGTTGGATAAGGATTCAGCAATGCATTCCTCCAGCGCAGTCTCAAGCAAGAACCTTAACGTCAGTGACAGGAGCTACTGGGTCTTCTGACATCAGCTCAAGCCTTAACATACAGAGGTCAGCTTCAACTTCAGCTGATACAGCGATTTCTACTGGAACTGATTTACCTTCCAGATCCGCTCTGTCCAGTCCTTCAGTGGTGGCTAGACGAACAGAATATCTGGCCAGAGTCTCTATGATGTCCTTTGTATCTATTCATCACCTATTTGTTGATGCATCCCTTAAGGGTTGGGGAGCTCACTTCCTCGACCACCAAGTGGCCGGGCTGTGGTCATCCGACGAACGGGTACTTCATATAAATGAGCTGGAATTCAAGGCGGTAATTCAACCATCTCACATCGGGCAACAGAACTTCAATCAATTATTCTGTTGATTCATTCAGACAATTCAACAATGGTTTGGTATATAAATCTTCTAGGCTCGACAGGCTCGGAGAATCTGCTACAATGGGCGATCAGGGTCTTCCTTCACATCGACTCTCTCAACATCGTAGCCAGAGCCAGACACATTCCCAGGGTAAAAAGTGTGATTGCTGATGCCTTGTCTCGATCCAACTGTCCGTCCCCGATATAGTGGAAGCTACTGCCTGAGATCTTCCAGTGAATGATCTACCCATTATCACGGCATCAAGTAGATCTATTCACCACAAGGTTCAACAATCAACTTCCAAAGTTCATATCATCAATCCTAGACCCCATGGCTTGGGACTTTGACAAGTTGGCATTATCATGGGAGGGTCTCAATGCTTACATGTTCCCATCTCCAGCTCAGCTACCAAAAGTTATACATAACATTTGGCCACCAGCAACATACTACTGCTTTTGGTCGCACCCTTCTGGCCAGCAAGAAGTTGGTTTGTCAACCTAAGAAGATTGGCAGAACCAAACCCAGTACCACTTCTCAACCGGGACGACCTACTTCTTCACCCTCACGCAGAACTATGCCAGGGGTCATCTCAGACCCTTGATCTACATGTTTGGCGTATCTTCAGAAATCTCTCATAACTAAAGGCTACTCTCGCCGAGTGACCACAGCTATTACTTCAGCGCATCATACTTTGACCCGTTCCTTGTACGACAAAAAGTGGAAAAAGTTTGAAGACTATTGCAAGGTTAGGGGAATTGCATGTCCCACTTTACCTCTGCAGCATCTCCGCACTACTAAGAAACTCAAGGGTACTACGTTAGCTACCTACTTAGCCACCATCAACTCAGTTTTGGCTACCACCACAGGCAAGAAGATTTCCACTGTTCCAGAGTTGCAGAGCCTATTATGCTCCTATAGACTCTCTGACCAGTCCAGGAAGTTCAGACCTCCGGCCTGGGATCTGTCTGTCATCCTTCGTCATTTGATTTCTACAGACTATGAACCTTAGAAGACAAGGACTTTGAACAAGTGACATTCAAGACATTCTTCCTGGTAGCTTTGGCTACCGCTGCTCGT